AAAAAACAGATGCTGGTGAGGCTGTGGAGAAAAGGGAATGCTTATATACTGTGGTGGGAATGTAAATTAGTCCAGCCACTATAACAAGCAGTTTGAAGATTTCTCAAAGAACTTAAAACAGAGCTACCATTAGACCCAGCAACCCTATTACTGTCTATATACACAAAAGAAACGATTCTATCAAAGACATATGCATGTGTATGTTCAATGCTACACCATTCACAATAGCAAGGACATGAATCAACCCAGGTGTCCATCAGAATGAAATCATGTCCTCTGCAGCAACACAGATGGAGGTAGAGGCCAGAATCCTCAGCAAATTAACTCAAAAACAGAAAACCTGTTTTTAAGCAGCATCTTCTCACTTAGAGAGCTAAGCATTGAGCACACATGGATATAAATATGGGAACAACAGACACTGTGGACTACTAAAGGGTGGAGGAAGGTGGTATGGGTTTAAAAAAGCTACCTGTCAGGTATTATGTTCACTACCACGGCGATGGGATCTGTATTCCAAACCTCATAATCACAAAATACTTCATGTAACAAATCTGCACATGTAACCCCTGTATCTAAAATACAAGGTGAATTTGCAGAATTTCTTAGATCAATTCTAGCACCAATAGAGGAGTACTTGTGTTGAAACCTAAGATGAAAAGCAGTCCATAAAAAGTAGAAAGACTTAAAATACCTGAAGTCAAATACTGGCTAAGCTGATTACTCTAAATGACTTTGAGCAAGTTAAATTCTGAGTTCCAGTGTCCTCATCTACAACCTATAGTTAATGCCTCAGAGCTTTATTAGGACAAGCCTGCATATAATGAAGCTTCTCTATTTTTTCTTCTTTCATGGTTGGAGTTGAGATTATTGCAATTATTAAAAAGTTTAAAAACAACAGATGCTGATGAGGCTGTGGAGAAAAGGGAATGCTTATACATTGTGGTAGAAATTTGGATAGGAGATTTGCTAAAGTTTTCCCTGAGCAGACTTATTCTTTACTCCATCTTAGCTAAAAGCCTTCTAAAAGGCAAAATTACGGAGTCTTTTCTCATCAGTCTTACCTAATAAACAATTATAACTGCTTCTTAAGCAACAAATAAATTCTGGGGCTGAAAACAAAAAGGAGAGCTAGCTACAAAGAATATAGAGCTTAGGCTAAAGTTGGGGATGCATTAAGTATAACTGGAGAAAAAAAGTGGTGAAGATACATAGACATACAGAATTTCTTACAGTGATAAAGTATCAATTTTAGGAACAGGCATGCCGGCTCACGCTTGTAATCCTACCACTTTGGGAGATCAAGGCAGGTGGATCATCTGAGGTCAGGCGTTTGAGACCAGCCTGGCCAACATGGTGAAATTCTGTCTCTACTAAAAATACAAAAATTAGCTGGGCCTAGTGGCATGTGCCTATAGTCCCAGCTACTCAGGAGGCTGATGCAGGAGAATCGCTTGAACCCGGGAGGCAGAGTTTGCAATGAGCCGAGATCACATGCCACAGCAGTCCAGCCTGGGCAACAGAGTGAGACTCCATCTCAAAATAATAATAATAATAATAATAATAATAATAATAATAATAAAAGTACCAATTTTCGTTATTATTTTTTTTTTTCTGATGGAGTCGTGCTCTTGTTGCCCAAGACTGAAGTGCATTGGTGTGATCTCATCTCACTACAACCTCTGCCTCCTGGGATCAAGCCATTCTCCTGACTCAGCCTCCCGAATAGCTGCGATTACAGGCGCCTGCCACCACACCTGGCTAACTTTTTCTTTTTTTTGTATTTTTAGTAGAGACAGGGTTTCACTATGTTGGCCAGGCTGGTTTCAAACTCCTGAACTCAGGTCATCCGCCCTCCTCAGCCTCCCAAAGTGCTGGGATTATAGGCATGAGCTGTAGTGCCTGGCCAATTTTAGTTATTTCCTGAGGCAATTCTGTGCCAGTGCCCTTACATATGGTGGTGACCAAGTGCCTGTCACCTCCAGACTTTAACAAAACACAGAACAAATCCATAAATCAATCTATCCCCAAAAGAATAAAATTAAGTGAACTAAACTGATAACCGCCCAAAGGAAATCAGCTTATGGAAGAAAATAATAGTTCTTATTACTACAAATTAGTATTTCACTAACAAAAGCACAAAGTAAATAATGCAATTAATAATTTCTTCATATTTATATACTTTCATCCAATTGCCAAAAAAATCATCCAAATCTGAAATATGGTAAAATACTCACTCTATTTAATAAATCAATTTCTTCTTTGAGTTTTCCAATCATTTCCTCTTTATCTTGCATCAGTCTCACAAGTCTTAGGTTTTCTTGTCTTTCTCTTACTACTTCCTGGTAGATACAATTACAGAACAGTAATTAAGAAGTAAGTGGTCATTTATAATCTTCCTAAATGGCATACATCTGCCAAGTTCGGTAAAATGTATTACACACATGAAGATTTCCAATGAATCCCTTAAGGTATTTGGTGAAGGAACAAAGATCCCACCACAAAAGGAATCAGAGAATGAGGGGACTATAGGAGCTGTTAGGATGCTCCTGAGTAAACCTATGTTCATATAAGTCTTTGACAAAACTAATGGAATAGACTCAATGATTTAACCTCTTTTTTTTTTTTTTTTTTTTTTTTTAAACAGTGTCCTCCTCTGGTCACTGAGGCTGGAGTGCAATGGCGTGATCTTGGCTAAGTGTAACCTCCACCTCCTGGGTTCACGCCATTCTCCTGCCTCAGCCTCCTGAGTAGCTGGTATTAGAGGTACGTGTCACCATGCCTGGGTAATTTTTGTATTTTTAGATGGGGTTTTGTCATGTTGGTCAGGCTAGTCTTGAACTGCTGACCTCAACTGATCTGCCCACCTCGGCCTCCCAAAGTGCTGGGATTACAGGCGTGAGCCACTGTTCCCAGCCTATGATTTAACTTCTTTAGCTTATCGCCACTATAAGTTATGAACTACCTAATTTCTTAATGGATATCCTCTTTGAAATAATTCAAAGTTAATTTTTTTTTAAAGTACGAAGTTTAAGAAAAGGAGAGGGCCCAACAGAAACTTTAAACAGAAAAACAATGGTCCTAAATTTTACCTCTGGCTCTGCCAGTTAACTAATAAAGGATTAAAAGAAGAAACTAAAATAGATTACTGATTTTTAATTTTTTTTTCTTTAAACAATGCAACACCTTTTTCAAAAAAATCTTATTTAGAATCCAGAGCATCAGACTTGGTGAGCCACCTTGGGGGCAAAAGGGAAGCAGAGTGAAAAAGGCCTTGCCCAGAACTTGGCTTCTTTCCTACTAAACTTCCCAGAGAGCAACCAACCATCCATAACCCTTAGCTGCTGCCAACTATTAGCTACTCAATCTAAACTCTTGTGGAACTCAAGAAACCCTTCTGCGTAACTCCCTTCAAAACTATTAGATTACATATTGTCTAAAGCTTTCAATTTAAAATTAATGAAATAATTGGTTGGCAACAGTGGCTCATGCCTGTAATCCCAGCACTTTGGGAGGCTGAGGCAGGTGGATCACCTGAGGTTAGGAATTCAAGACCAGCCTGACCAACATGTTGAAACTCCGTCTCTACTAAAAATACAAAGAAAATTAGCCAGGCTTGGTGGCGCATGCCTGTAATCCCAGTTACTTGGGAGGCTGGAGCAGAAGAATAGCTTGAACCTGGGAGATGGAGGTTGTAGTGAGCCAAGATTGCGCCACTGCACTCCAGCCTGGGCAATGAGAGTGAAACTCTGTCTCAAAAATAAATAAATGAAATAATAATAATTCTAAGAAGAAACTATTGCTAAAACTTAGAAATGTGACCTCAAAATAATCATAAATGTTACAAAATAGAAACAAGTTTGAAAAATTAAGTTTCTTTATATAACATATAAATTAGACCTTTTATAGAGAATAATCTCAAGTAAAACAAAACACATTTTCAATAATTACGAAAGAATTCAACGCCGTTACTATTTTTAAGGGTTGAATGTCTATGGCACAAACCTGAGACCCTATGCTTAATAAATTTATGCCAATAGTCATCTGAATTGTACTGAAATACACTTTTAAACAAGCACATTCTTATATAAAATTGTTTCAAATAGCGAAGATGGACCTAACTCAGATTTACTCCTGTAATTTGCAAATGAAAATCTGTTCAGACAATATAATAAATACACAGTAGTATATACTGCCAGCTTAGACTTCTAACTTCAAAACACAGACTGTAATATATTAAAGGTTACATTTAGCAGAATAGAAGTGCACATAGTAAATATTAAAGAATATTATTTCTTTTCTCACTCAGTTGTTATGAAACTAAAAAAAGAATTCTAATGGTATATTAATTTCATCAATCTTAAAAAACTTATAATACATACCTTTTCAAGATCTTCAATTTTCTTTTCCAATGTGCTATTTGAAACCAGATTACCTGAAACATTTGCATCCCTGTTATATCTAGGAAACCCACTTCTATCTGTTCGAGGATATCTACTTGAGACTTCTTCTTCAGATACACTGGTTGTGCTGTGGAAATATAAACATTTTATAAAAATCCCTTAGTATTCAACAAGAAAAATGCCAAGAATATTTTCCATTCAGCTTAAAAAAATTAACATTCCCCAAGGACATATGGTTATAACAGCAACTTATTTATAACTGTAGAAGTTAATCATTATTCCAACACAATGAAAAAACGTGAAAGTAACATTATTTCTTTCCGCCAACATCTACTGAGTAGCTAAGTAATGAACATTGTTCTGGATACTGAATATGTAACAGCAAACACACACATGGACTCTACCTTTCATAGAGCTTTCAGTTAAGAGGGAATATAATAATAAAGCAAGATGATCATTAAAATAAGGTCAGTGACAGATACTATGAGAACTATGACAGGACAGATCTCCCATATTATTATTTTGAGATGGGGTCTCACTCTTGCCACCCAGACTGGAATGCAGTGGTACAATCATGGCTTACTGTAGCCTCAACCTCCTGAGCTCCAACAATCCTCCCATCACAGCCTCCTGAGTAGCTGGGACTACAGGCATGTGGTCACCACACGTGGCGAATTATTTTGTATTTTTTTCAGAGACGGGGTTTCACCATGTTGTCCAGGCTGGTCTCAAACTCTTGGGCTCAAGCAATCCACTCACCTCAGCCTCCCAAAGTGCTACAATTACAGGTGTGAGCATCTGTGCCTGGCCTAGATCTCCCAGACTATCTGTGTTGAAAAACCACTCTCCTTTTTCAAAATGCCAATCTTTCATGGACCAATACTTTTATAAAGTAAAATAAAAATGCACTGCTGGAAAAATAAAAGTTTAAAAGGTCGTACAAAACACAAGTCCAAATGTTTTATTAGATTCAGACCCATAACATTATAAATAGAAAAAAAGAAAAGAATTACAGAAAGTGGCAAATTCTCCACTATAGGCATGCATACAGGCAATTAATACAGAAAACTGCTACCACATTGATAATCTTGTCATGCCATAATTCTAATTGAATCAAAAGTTCTAAGTAAAACAGCAATTCTTTGAACACCAATTCATATCCTCTGAACTAACAGCACATGTCAGTATTCAAAGGTTTTAATGTAACAAATGAGTTTGCTGTATTATTACTCCATTAAAAATTACCCCCAAACTTACACACATTTTTTTTTTTTGAGTCGAAGTCTCACTCTGTCACCCAGGCTTGAGTGCAATGGTGTGATCTCAGCTCACTGCAACCTCCGCCTCCCAGGTTCAAGCAATTCTCTGCCTCAACCTCCCAAGTAGCTTGGGAACTACTACAGACTACCACACCCAGCTAATTTTTTTTTGTATTTTTAGTACAGATGGGGTTTCACCATGTTGGCCAGAATGGTCTTGATCTCTCGACCTCGTGATCCGCCCACCTTGGCCTCCCAAAGTGCTGGAATTGGAATTACAGGCGTGAGCCACCTATCAAGGTTTCTGTTGGTCAGGAAATGTAGAAGCAGCTTAGGTGGGTGATCATGATTCAAGGCTTCTCCTGAGCTTTTAATCAAGATATTGGTTGAGGCTTCGTTCATTGGAAGGCTAAACTGGGCTGGAGAATCTGCTTCTAAGCTCACTCACATGAGTGATAACAAGGGCCTCAGTTCCTCACTATGTTGGCCTCTCTGTTGGCCAGTTCATTACATGGCAGCTGGCTTCCAGAGACAAAGTGACAGAGCAACCCAGACAGAAACTGCAGTGTCTGTCATAACACAACCTCAAAAGTGACACACTATCACAGTGACCTTATCCTATTGTTCACACATATCAATATGGCATAACATGTAAGAGGATTATACAAGGTGTAAACATCAGGAGGTGGGGTTCATTGGGGGCTGTTTTGGAAGCCAGTTACCACATTTGTTAATTAATCTAGGTTGGACTGATGACAATGATATTCACAAGGAATATGTATATCTAAACTATTTCTGTGTTTTGTTTTAATAGCACTCAGAGAAAATAGTCTCAAAGGACAAAAATAGGAGTGATTTTAATGCAATTTCAGCAAGCTCATTCATTTTTAAAAACTTTTATCTAAAATGCAGAAAATTTGCTTTTCAAAATTTGTTTTTAATCTTTTACTGACTGGTATTCAGTTCGAAAAATTTATCCAGCAAATTTACAGTTAAATGTAAAGTGACTTTTGGTTTTAAAAAATTGATTCCTCGTCTACGAATTTCTTACCTATGGATTTTCTTTTGATAGAAAATAAAAGTGTCCCATCAAATTTGTAACCTTTTCAAATGTATATCGCAGAACCTTTTACAATAAGCTAAGGTAACTTTCTCCTCAAATATCCAACTTTCATTTTTGTTACCTGATCTTATCTGCCATTGGAAAGCCTTTGACATTCCTTCTTTGCATGGAAAGCTAAGATCACTTAAAAAAGAAAAAAAGAATAAGGCTATCAGACAAGTAAGTCTAACTCACATATTTTAAAAGTTTGTGACACAGCAACCAAAACAGAACTCATTTCTTATCTTGCAAAAACACCAAGAGTTCATCCCAAAGTTCAAATACTCTTGACTGAAAGGTTACTTTGAAGACCAATGTACACCCTAGCGTATGGTAACAGCTCAACTCCCAAACTACAATATGTAATTTTTTAGAAACCTCAAATTTAATGAATTAGTGTTTGTTAATTCACACTTTTAGTGAACTATACTGTTAATTCAGCTGATATAGCAAGAACACTGTGTAGTTCAGCTGACAACGCAAGACTTTCTCAATGAAAGCAGCAGGACGCTGATTTACATTCTGGTACAAGCTTCAGCATGTTTTTCTTACACTGTGCCTGCATAATTAGAATATACTCCTACAAAAGTAAAGCAAAACTCGAAACCACATTTGTTGATATTGTAACCCTTTGCAAGTGTTACATACTTCAGAGCGAGCTGTATTTGTCAGCAATGAAGCTGAAAAATAAATTATTTCCTATCATTGTCATGTTAGCAAAACCAATGTGCTCATCAAACTGTAACAAAAATTCCTTTGCTATCCTTATTTGTCTGAGAGTTAGTCTTCTGTATCACTATCCTGTTCCTAAATACATCAAACTATGGCATTGCTGGAAGTGGTATGTGAACTACCTTCTTTACTACAGATTCATCCAACTTTTCCAAGTAAACATATTTTATCATTTGTATGCAGCTTTTTAATGTTAGCAACCTCAGGTGAGACTATCAGAAACCCTCAAAATACTAATGATTACATGTGAAATCCTGAACATCCGCTTCTGTCACCTTTGCAATACTCTTTCTTTCAAATAATGAATTTGGTTTTGAACACATTTGATGAATTGGTATTGAACATATCATGCCTACAAATACGAATTAAATTTAGATCATTTTATATTGTTTCATTAGCCAGTGTTATCTCCAAACAACCCATTTTGCACTGTGCCCATCAATTATGGCTAAAAACTAAACATAAGACACACAGTACTTTCCAAGAAAACTAGTACAAACTCTATTATCTGTATCTCTTTGAAATTACTTCCTTTGTCATCTGGTTTACTACTGCTATTCCACTCAAAAAAGTTCAGTAAATTCTGTTTTGTTATCAGTAAATCAGACTTAAAAATAAATTTTGCTTCCAGGATTTAAATACTTGTAAAAGAAAAAGATTTTTACATTTTATTTTTATTTACTATATATTTTAAAATTATTTACAGGACAAGAATAAGCATGATTATGAGATTTTAAAAATAAATGCTTTGCTTTTTTTTTGAGACAGAGTCTTGCACTGTCACCCAAGCTGACGTAAAACGGTGCCATCATGGCTCACTGCAAGCTTGAAACCTCAAAACTCCTGGGCTCAAGTGATCCTCCCACTTTAGCCTCCCAAGTAGCTGGGACTACAGGCATAGGCCACCATACCTGGCTAATTTATTTATTTATTTTTTTTGGTAGAGATGTGTCGTACTACGTTGACCAGGCTGGTCTCAAACTCCTGGCTTCAATTTGATTTACGGTATAAAACTTTGTTATCACAAATATTTTAAATGAAAGGATAACTGAATATGCTTCATTATTTCTGAAAATCTTAACATTGTGTGATAGAGAGATTCAAAGATCTAGTTCTAACATCAGTTTGAACATTTTATTTTTAACGGCTATCAAAGCAGAAAGGATGCCTTACAACAAAAATGAGAATATTTTAAAGGTTTCACTTAAGACCTCAAAATCAGCATAATAATTTTTCTTAATTTATGAGAACAGATTTGATTTTGTATAGCTTACCAGCTGAACAACAATGTTATCTTATCTGCAGTTAGACAATTGGCTTGATTTTCTCCGTAAATTTCCTAATCCAGACTTACGTATTTTGTGAGTCATAAAGTAAATAATTCATAAGTCCATGTAGATGGACATTCAAATTATAGTATTGTAAAACATGCAGAAAGTGAACAAAGCATGCTTCCCTCAGGACACCTTTAGTACCAAATGACCATCTGACATATAGAGCAAAGAAGGAATGACTAAATAACTATTACACAGTAATAGCTTTTAAATATAAATGCCTTAGTGTTTTCCAAATAAAAAGAGAAATATGAATAAAAATTCTAATATTTTCCTCCTGCACCCAGCAAATTATCTTGCATATCACCCCACTTTGGAGATCACTGATTCAGACTCTACTTAAAGGTAATGGTAAGCTATTAAACAGGGAAAGTAACAGTATCATTTTTACAAAATATATTGGAGATGACATAAACTGGAGACAGGGAGGCCAGTGTGGAGGCTATTGTAATCACCTATGTAAGAGATGATGGTGTCCTAGATTGGTGCGATGGCAATGAGATACTCAGAAGATAAACTCAACAAGCCTTGGTGAATGAATGGATATGGGCGAGACAGTGAGGAAAAAAAAAGGAAGTGCCATAAATAATGGCACTTACTTGAGCAAAAGTAGATGTTGATGTCAACTACTGAAATCCATCAGGTTTCACAAGCTTACTTTTGAAAATGCTTAGTTTAGCATACTTCTGAGATATCTAAA